CGGGAAGCGCTTCAGGTGGAAGGGAGGCACCTGGCGGGGGGGCGGGGGGGCGGGGGGGCGGGGTGGCGGGGAGTGGGGTCTGGGCTCCTGCTTGAGGCGCGCGAGGCGCGAGGTGTGAGGCGCGAGGCGCGAGGCGCGAGGCGCGAGGCGTGGTGTGTGTGTGTGTGTGTGTGTGTGTGTGTGTGTGTGTGTGTGTGTGTGTGTGTGTGTGTGTGTGGAGTGAGTGAGTGTGTGTGTGTGTGCGTCGGGTGGCAGTGCGTGTGCGGTGCTGCTTTGATCTCTCTCGGGTGGCCACGGTGCACGCGTGTGTGTGGGGGGGGGGATTCACCGAGTAGAGGGCCCCGATGGCGAGTCCGAACGAGTAGAGCTGAAAGATGAGCCCGCCGAAGAGGCTGCGGACCAGACCCATCCCGCCGCAGAGCGAGGCGCACACGACCGCCCACGCAGCCGCGGGCGACATGGCACCGGCGGCGATAGGCAGAAACGGCTTGTTCACCTGGTCGATCTCGACATCGTAGATCTGCGGCCCGGGCGGCGTGGTGGGCGGACTGGCGGGCAAGGCGAGGCCATCCTCGGAGCGAGGAGCGGGTGAGGGCGGGTGCAGGCACCTGGTTGATGCCGACGATAAAGAGGTTTCCGAGGACGAGCGCGACAACGCCCAGCATGGCACGAGGAAGCTGCGGGACCGCGAGGTAAGGCAGTGGCTGTGTGAGACATAGCGGCTGCCGGTGGGCAGTGTGTGCGGCGGCGCACCAGCGCAGGCAACAGGGCGAGGCGCTCCGGCGACTCGATCAGCGCGCGACCGACGCCAGTGCCGCAGGCGAGTAGCGTCCCGCGAACCGTGTGCGGACGGCTAAAGGCGTACACCGCGCTCGCCGCGCCCGCGGCACGGCTCGCAAGAGTGGTGCCGCCGGATGGCTCGTCAGCAGATGCAATTGGCGAGGTGGCGCGGGCGTACGAGTGCTGGCCTAGGCGGTCTCTAGACACAGGCCCGTGGACGCGAAGCGTCCTGGAAGGCGCAGGCTGCAGCACCAGCAGCAAACCCAGCGCGAAGCGGCGAGGTGAAGACGACATTTCCGGAAACAGGCTGACTGTTTTTCTTGGGCGGCCAGCATGCTGAAATCTGGAAATGGACGGCCCCTGCGGTGCCCCTACCTACCTACCTACCTACCTACCTACCTACCTACCTACCTACCTACCTAGGGTGCGCAAATCGGATAGGGCGCCTCGTATGGCGAGCCGCTGGAATTAGCGCGCGGGCGGACCTCACACAGCTCACAGCTCACCACCCGGTTGCTTCCCCCAGGATGTTTTTCTATGAGGAGCAGGAGGTGGAGGCGAGGCGCTCGTGCTGCGCTGTGCAGCCCCGGGGCTGCACAAGCACGGGCGGGAGGGGCATCGCCTGCGGAGTCGTGCGTGCGCAGGGCTCCTCTTTGCTTTCTTCTACTCCCTACTATCATCTCTCGTTCCCCCGTCCTACCAGCAGCAGCTACCACACCACAACCAGAGAGAGAAGCCCTGCTACCCTTTACTAGAGCACCCACAGAAAGTGATGGTTCGTGATACTCTCCTTCAACCATATTTTCCCTGCGCGCCGCAGCCCTCCGCCGAGTGGAATGTCAGGGACGAACACCGCCGGACCCGCAAAACCATCCCCGCTCTCTCACTGCAAGGTGCTGCCTGGAGCAAAACGATGGCGCGGTGTATAGGCACGCCAGGACAATGCTGTGCGCGCGACGAGCGCAGCAGATGCCAGGCTGCAACGAGCTTGATGGTGCGTGCTCGATAGCCCAAAGTCGCGGTCCTCGGCTGCCCACGCCTCGGCTGCCCATGCCGCGGGTAATGGGGTGGGGCGGTGGCGGAGGGCGGTTAGCTCGAAGCCGCACAGCCGCAAAGGCCAGATTGTGGGCGCGGCTCACCAGCGCGACCACAGCAGCGAGAAAAGAGAGACTGCTGCCGCGCCACCGGCCACGTAAGTGGAAAGTCTGACTGCGCTTCTGCTCTCGGACTCCGGGACGTTGAACCAGTACGCTGCGGTGCGAACGCCACCGCAAAAGCCAATGGCGACGCCACACTGCCCCGAAAAGATCATGAGCTTGAGGATGGCACGAGGCGAAACGTTTTCCACATCGATGCCCCGCGATGATATCTCGAGCTCGAGCCCCATTCTGACGTCGGCAGGGCTTGGACAGAACAGGCGGCCGCCCTGGCGTGAACGAAAAAGAGTTTTTTTGCAGCGGCAGACAGAAAAAGAAATAGCGCAGGCATAGAAAACAGACGGAATCGAAACGCCAGCCAGGCGACAAAAACCACGGAAAAGCACTTCTTGATCTGATAACAACACACCCAACAAACCACGCGACCAGAGACAAACAAAACAAACAACACTAAGAGACAGACACGTACGTAGTCACGTCGAAACCACATGCATGAGGCAGGCAGGCAGGCAGGCAGGCAGGCATAACCGGCAGCAACAGCGGCGGCGGCCGAATGGCATCAACAGCAATTTTTGAAACACCTTCCCTGCCTCCGCGCAACTCGCAGCGCAGAAGCCGTCCGTCTGCCACCGAGTCGACTCACGTATGAGCGGGATGCCTTGCTTGAAGCCGGCGCACTTGATATTGCGGCCAATCATCCACGGTGTAAGGATTGTCGGTGGTGCAATCGGTGTGTGCACACTTGAGCACTTGAGCACTGGATAGGGTCGATTCCGCATTGTACGGGACCCCTCGATCGTCTCGCCCTCCCTCACTGGTGTGTTCATTGGGGGGGGGTCATAACAAACACGGTACAGGATCGAGGTGCACGCTGCTGGAGCAGTGTCGTCCCCCCTCTCCATCATCTCACTGTGAGACGTCGGCGGTGATGGCGGTGTGATCGATCGAGCTACAAGAGGAACTTGTTCAGCAGGATCCGGGAAGGTCTGGCGCACTACCTCACTGGGCCTGAGACCGCCGAGACAGTACCCGTCACCGTCTCGGGTTTGTGTGGAGTCGAACCACTCCGGGATGGCAAACTCATCGTCCTGAATTGTGCACAATTTAAGCGGGGGGCGCAGGGGCGGGGGGCGGTAAAGCGAAGGGGCAGGCGTCGCCGGGCTTCAGGGGCTTGCCATGTTCTAGGCCATGTTGCCAAACGCGAAGCAGCTCGCCTGTCTATCCGTCGGTGGCTCGTTCGCCTTCGTCGCGCTTGTGAGGGGAGTGGAAGGTCTATGTGGGTAGGCTCTGCGCGGTCTATGATCATAGGGCGAGAAGGAGGAACAGACGCGGCTTGCTTAGAGGGTCAAGAAGGTTTTCAAAGCCGAAAGAAAGAAAGAAAGAAAACAGACAAGCCAAGGGAGGGATGGGAGGACGGCACGCCGCCACCACACAGCTCACAGGGATTTTAAGGAGAGAGTGCGGTGCTAGCCTTCGCCCACCCTCGGGCGTCTACCTCTTCCTATCTCTGTTCGCAGTTTCTCGCCAATTCTCGCAGCGACCTTCATGCCACCTCTCGTTCTTCCCACTCTCGTCCTCGTTCTCTCTCCTGCTGTTCCTCATCCTCTGCGACTCATCGCTCTCCTCGGCCTCGTTCTGAGAGAGAGATTTTTAGCAATACCAAACAACTTTTGTTGTCGTTCTGAGACGCCGCTGCCGTCTGCCGATCCCTTGCTCTCGCTGCTTCTCTCGCCTCTCTGCGTAACTCCGCCCTGCTGTCGGCATATTTTGGCCCCTCGAGTTTATCGAGCTCTCCTCGCGCAAGGACCACATTTCTGAGCCTAAGAAAGAAAGAAAGAAAACAGCTAACCCAAGGGAGGGATGGGAGGACGGCACGCCGCCGAAGTCTGGCGCGATTTTTTGTTGGTCAAGCAGGTTCGCGTAAACAACCCTGGCATCTCCACCGTCACACATTCATTCATCGCCGAGTAGAATGCTGGCGCTCCTCCCGTCGCTCTACTCGTTTGCGGGGCCGGGCCCCTCCGTTGCCGCGAGAAGCGCGACGCTCTGCTCGCCATCGATCCCCGCCCAGATCCCGATTTCGCGGCTCGCCCGGACCATCGGCGCTCCCGTCATGAGCGTCGAGGACAAGGGCGTGATGCGGACCGAGGTGGAGTCCGGCGCTGACGCTGTCTTTGCGGTGATTGACAAAAACGGAGACGGCAGCGTGTCGCGTGCGGAGATGACTGAGCACCTCCTCAAGGCTGGCTACAACGAGGCGGCGGTCGAGGTCATCTTCGCCAAGCTCGACTCGGACGCGGACGGCGAGCTCTCAAAGGAGGAGCTGCGGGAGGGGTTCGCGAAATTCGCACCGCTTCGCGAGGCGCCGGGGCTCGGTGCGTTTAATGCCAAGTTCGTGGACGAGATCAACTCCGACGCTGACGCCCTCTTTGCTGCCGTCGATGCGGACGGAGGCGGGAGCATCTCAAAGGAGGAGCTGCGCGAGCACCTGAAGAGGGAGACGGACTACTCCTTCAAGGCCATCTCCGCCATCTTCCGCCTCCTCGACGCCAACGGCGATGGCGCCGTCGAGCGGCACGAACTGCGCGAAGCCTTTGTCAAGCACTCCCCCCTGCGGCTCGCTCTGGGGCAGGGCCCAAACTTCAAATGAGGCGGCCGGACCGGGCGGCCAGGGCGGGTACCCCCCCCCCCCCCCCCACACACACCTCCTCTCCCGTCTCACACGCCGCGTCGTGGGCGGGTGTGTTGCGCGCAGGGAGGGTCGGGTGGTTCGCGTGTGGAGGCGTGCGAGAGGGGCGAAGTCGGGATGGGTGGGCCTAGGGTGTGGATGCATGTCACAGCGCGCACACATGCACATGCACAACATGTGCATGTGCATGCACATGCAATAGGTAGATATTTGCGGCTTGCGCACGTGCGTGTACGAAAAAAAGGTAATATATCTTTACTTCCACAACCCTAAAGTCCCTTGAAACAAACCTGTTCCCGGGCATTAACACATATAACAGTATATTCCGCGGAGGAGTGTCTCAGTGTGGACGGTACGACGGACGGAAACACCACCCCCCTTTTTATGCCTGGCCCTGGGCATAGTCTCTCTGGGGGTGAGCTGGGTCGGCCACCTCCGGGTCTGCAACTCGCACGGCGGGTCCGCATCCGGGCGAGCATGTCCGAGGCCCGCGTGCACCGCGGTTGTCCTTTCGCTGGGCGCGACCGCCATGGAGATCCGCTGCCCACAGATCAGTGCTTTTGTCGACTATTGCTCGCTCTCTGTGCACTCGCAACGCCAGAGGCCGTGCTTGGAGAATGCGTCGCAATGCTGCTGCGCCTGTGGTTTGAGCCGCGGCGCAAGCTTCATCGGTGAGCTGCGGCGGCGCGCCGGCCGCTTCATGCATAGCTCTCCGGCGAGCGCGGCCGCGAACGCGTTTTCCGTCCGCCGTTTCATCGAGTTTGCCCGAGTGGTAAAATGCAATCGAAGTTGCCCGAGTGGTAAAGTGCAACTTTGGCATTTGGTAAAAGTTGCCCGAGTGGTCTGTGGGGAAAAAACCAAAGCGGAAGGGTGGCCCCGAGAGCTAAAGGTCAACATCCCCTCCGGCTACGACAATGTGAGCCTGATCTGGTCCTCACGGGGTTGACCCGTCTCCTCCAGATCGAGACGGACTTCATGAACGGCCGAGCAATATTTCTTCATTACTATTAGAAATTGAGGCTTTTTGCAGGGGGGAGCCCCCCCCCCCCCCCCCCTCCTCCCCCGCGCCCACTCCCTGCCCTCTCCCGCCACACACTCCGTCAGAGCCCCCTCCGCTCTTGCACAACAGGAATTTTGACAATTAACCAGATGGAAGCAGGAAGCTTCCAACTTCCATCCCGATCGGTGGTTCGACTCCACGACGGTCGTAGGTGATGGGTCATAGGGCCTTGAGGTCTGAAGCTCACCCATTGAGGAAGTGAGGAACTGCTCGACCCACCCTGATCATGCTGAAGCCTGAACGAGCTCCTCTTGTAGCTCGATCGGTCACACCGCCATCGCCGTCGGGGAGAGGGGGGACGACACTGCTTCTCTGCACACTGCAGCGTGCACCTCGATCCTGCACCGTGCGGTTTGCTATGACCCCCCCCAATGAACACACCAGTGAGGGTATGGGCGAGACGATCGAGGGGTCCCGTACCATGGCGGAATCGAGACACCCTAAAGTATCCAGTGCTCACGGGGGCACAGAGCTCCACCACGCACCAGCACCCACACCGGACCAGAGAGAGTCAGACCACAGGGGAGACCTCCAGCTCCACGCTCCAGACGCAGCGAGACCACACACCCGCGGCGTGTTGCTCTTCAATATAGAGGGAGCGGACCGTGAGTTGAGGAAATCGGAGGACGCGACCCACTTCGCCACAGACGGTCCCGCGCCTCGCCACTATGACGGGCACACGCCCCGCACCGTCCGCTGTGTGCCCGTCTTTGTCCGGAGTGAAAAGTCCAACGCGCTCGTCGGTGGCGGCTTCCTCCAACCTGCGCCGCGCTCGGCGAACCTCGACAGCGCCCACGGTGGCATGCAGCTCTTTGCGACAGAAGCCTGGAGAGCAGCTCCTCTGCTGCTCACACACTCTGCACAGTTGGCACAGCCTACTGTGCGGCTGTCACAGCTGTGACAGCGATGGGCTCGCCCTCACTGGCCCTCAGTCACTTGTGCTGCGGCTTGTGTGAGCGACACTGCTCGGCGACTGCCGGCACACTGTGAGACCGTGGGTGTGAGGTAAAACCACGCTACCAGCGCTTGGTCACATCGGCCCTGAGGTCAGATCCTTCTACTCTGTTGATGACAACACTTGTCTACTCGCTGGAGCCGAGCAGGAGGGCCCGGCGCACAACCCCTGGTCAACTCAGGGTCCACACCCCGTAAAGAGTGGGCCGCCGGGCGCGCGCTCGCTCCCGCTCGACGCGACAACGCCGTGTGAACCGTTCACACATCACAGACAAACCTCTGTCTACTACCGCCTAGTCTCTCTACCCCAGTACACACGTGCGCACGGCCCACGGCGCGTCTCAACAATCGCTTTCCTCACGCTCCTCTCCGCCGCCATTGGCGCCCGCCAGGCCCTCCTCAAGTGCGCCTCCTCGCTCGGGCTCCTCCCAACCTCCCGACCCCTGCTCCCAGAGCACCTCGGCGCGATCCTCCCAGGGAGCGCCGCACGCCGCGCTGCCAAAGGGAGCCCTGCGTAGCAGCAGCGCCGCCGCCGCCCCGCCGCCGCCGCCGCCGTCGACGACGCTGGCCGTCGGCCTGCCCGGCGCACGCGCGAGCGGCGACTGGCGCAACGCGAGCAGCGCCTCGACCGAGTAGCGGACCTTGCCGCGTGCGCGGTGTGCCGCCCTCGCGCTCCGCTCGGCCTCGGTCTGCACGGCGCGCAAACGTGCCGTCGCCGCCGCGGCGCGCCGGGCCCGCTCGGCCGCGCGCCTGCGGACGAGTCGCGGACGTGTCGCGGGACGTGTCGCGGACACGCCGCCCGCACTCGGCCGCGCGCCGGGCGATGCCGAGAGACGCCTCCGCCTCGTCGGGCGGCACGCTCGAGCCGCGCAGCTCGAGCGTCTGCAGCGGCAGGGCGCGCAGCGCGGCGAGGGCGTGCGCCGTGACGAGGGGCAGCCGCTCGAGGGCGAGCGAGCGGAGCGTGCGGCGAAGGGCGGCGAGAGGCAGCACGGCGGCGTCGGAGAGGAGCGGGTTGCCGCTCAGGTCGAGGGCCTCGAGGCGAGGGCAGAGGTGGCTGATCGGGCGGGCGTCGGCGTCGGTGAGGCGACAATCAGCGAGCAGCAGCAGACGGAGCGCCGGGAGGCGGACGGGCGGCGAAGCGGGCGGCCCGGGGGGGAGGAGGTGCGAGAACGGCGTCTCCCCACCGCTCAGGTCGAGCACCTCGAGGGAGGAGGAGGGGACTCGTGAGTGACGAGCCCCCGAGCCGAGTGGGCAGGCCGAGGGTGAGTGTGAGTGTGAGGGTGAGGGTGAGTGTGAGTGTGAGTGTGAGGGGGTGAGGGTGAGTGTGTGAGGGTGAGTGTGTGAGGGTGAGTGTGAGGGTGAGGGTGAGGGTGAGGGTGAGTGTGTGAGGGTGAGTGTGTGAGGGTGAGTGTGAGGGTGAGGGTGAGGGTGAGGGTGAGTGTGAGTGTGAGTGTGAGTGTGAGTGTGAGTGTGAGGGTGAGGGTGAGGGTGAGTGTGTGAGGGTGAGTGTGTGAGGGTGAGCACCTCGAGGGAGAGGGGCGCGGACGGCCACAAGGGCGGGCCCAGCGAAGGGCAGCCTGACAGGCGCAGCTCGCGCAGCGGCGCCGGCGACTGCGCGACCGGCGGCGCGCCGCCAGGAGGGCGGTGTTGCGGCGGCCGGCAGGCGCACTCGAGCCGGTCGAGCAGGAGCCGCTCGAGCCGCCTGGCGGCGCAGAGGGCCACGCGCAAGGCGGCAGCCGCCTCGACGCAGCAGCACGAGAGGTCGAGCGACGTGAGGCCGGGCGGCGAGGCGGCGGCGGCGAGGTCGGCGGCGGAGAGGGAGGTGCCGCTCAGCGTGAGCGAGGTGAGGCTTTCGCTGCTCGCGAGCGAGGTGCAGCGGGCCAAGTCGCCGGGGAGGAGGGCGGCGTGCGCGAGAGAGAGGTCGGCGAGGCGGGACGCTGCGGCGGCGGGGGTGGGGAGTGCTGCGGCGGCGGAGGCGCCACGGGAGGGAGGGCGAGAGGGTGGATTGAGGGGCGGAGGGCGCGAGGCGCAGCACCGAGGCCGAGCGAGACGCACTGCAGCCCGAGGGCGGTGGCGCCTGAGGGACATGTCCCGGACGCGTCATGGACGTCAAAAGCCGCGAGAGCTGCGGGCTCCAAGGGTCGCCCGTCCACCCGAGGTCGAGCACCGACAGGCAGGAGCTGTCCATCAGCGACAGGGCCGCGTCGTCGCCGCTGACACTGCCCCACACCCGCAGCAGCCGCAGCGGCGCCGAGCAGAGCGGCGGCACCGCCGCGCTCGCCAGCAGGTTGCCGCCAAGGTCGAGCGCAGTCAGCCCGGCGAGCCGGTCGACCATGGTGCGCACTGCTGCCGCGTCGAGCGCTATCTTGCAGTTTGGAAGCTGCAGCGAGACGAGCTGCAGACATCCTCCGCACAGCACGCCGAACCCCGCGGCGCCGAGACCGTGGCAGTCGGCGATCCGGAGGTGCGTGAGGGCACGGAGGCCGGCAGCGAGGTGGGCGGCGCCGTGTGCGGTGAGGCGGGCTCCGGGCAGGTCCAGGGACGAGAGGGAGGGCAGAGCAGAGCAGCCGCCGACCTCGACGGCCCAGTCGTCATCGGCGGCGGAGACGGCCAAGCGCTCAACGTGGCGGCTCCCGTACCAGAGGCGCAGGAGCGGCAGCGGCGGCGACGGGAGCACGGGCTGCGGAGCGGCCTGCGAGAGCTCCGCAGCGACCGCCTTGAACAGCCGCGCCGAGAGCGGAGACGGCACGAGGGCGAGAGAGCCCACGCCGAGCAGCGAGGCCGGGCTCCGCGACGCATCGGAGATTGCCTCGGCGAGCGCAGCACTCGCCATGCCAAACAGCGAGTGCGCATCCGAAGAGCGCGATGGCGCCCTCATCCGCAGTCAGCGTCACTGCTGGCGCCGATCCCTCCTCGGACAGATCGTGCGGCCCTCCGCCTCCTCTGCCGGCGCCAGCGCGTAAAATTCTTTTTTTGGCATTAGAGGCAAAGCCACAGGTGCGCCCTCGGGCTTGCCCGCCTCTGGCTCGGCGACGGTGCAGCTCTCACGCCTTCTCGACCACGGGATCGAACGCCGATTATTTCTATTTTTCTTTTTACAATTCTTCACCTTCCAAGAAATCACGACTCTCACAGTGATCTCTCTCACCTTCCACCTAACCTAACGAAGTTGTCCGTAGGCGATGAGCTGCGCTGCTCCGCGCTCCGCCGCGGCTACTCCGCGCATCGCCGCGGCTTCTCAGAGGCACCACCGCGCCTACGCCGCCCCTCCCCACCGGTCCGCACCTTCTCTGCGGTGCCGGTGGGTCGGCCGTTTGAGCTGTCCCACCGCTCCCTGGCTTGGGTGGGCGTGGCGTGGCGTGGCGTGGCGTGACATGGCGCCTCGCTGTGTCTGGCTACCTGTAGCAGGGTTTCTTCTTCCTGGTACAGTCTGTTGCGGGCATTAAGAAAACAGGATCACGCGGCACCGTTTCTAAGCCTTTCCACACACACCCCACACACCCACGCCGTGGTTTCTTAGCTTCGGCCGGCACCCCAGGTGAGACGGGATCTAGGAGTTTTTAGGTAAATGACAATAAGGAAGCGCTGCCGCTGGACCGATGCGCCAGTCAGCAGTCTGAGCCCTGGCCTCGAGCTCGACACCTGCCAAATTCGCTCGCTCGGTGAGCCTCGGTCGGGGGTCGGCGAGACCCAGACTACCCTACCTGCCTACACCTGCCTACACCCTCGTTCATTTTTGCCCGGCCTTTGTAAAAAGAATAGACCGGCGGAATCGACCCTTCCAGTCCTCATACCTCAAGTGCTCTACCGCCGGAGACTAAGAAAAACACGAAAAGAATTTAAACAAAACAACTCTCTCTCACGAAAAGAATTCAGCGAGTAGACGAGCGATGCGGATAAGACAGTAGACAGGGGCGAAAGTGAACGGGTTCCTCCGCCAGAGAGGACAGGGTTTGCGATGAGGAGCGACTCCGAGGCGACGCCCAATTGAAAATTTTCTTTTGTCACGGCTCTCCGCGAACTCGATGGTTATTGACTTGCGGAAGGGGCACCCACACGTGAGGAATCTGCCGCACGCGCCGCTCGCCCGCGCCGCCCGCCGCGCCGCCGCCCGGCTCGAGAAGGGCGACCCTGCTTCGGCAGAGGCCGCCTTTCCACTCAACTACTGCTCGGACGTGCTCGGCACGCGCCACTTTTGCGACAGCCTGGCGAAGTACCTCGGGCGTGCCTACGGTGGGCCCGTCTCTCCGAGCTGGCTGATGACGACCGGCGGCGTCTCGCACGGCCTCGATCTTGCGACCGCGGCCCTCAGCCGGCCGGGCGACACGGTGCTCTGCGAGTCGCCGACGTACTTCCTCGTGCACCAGATCTTTGCCGACCACGGCCTCCGCATCGAGAGCCTGCCGACCGACGCAGACGGCCTCGACACATGCGCCCTCGAGGCTCGCTGCGAGGACAGCGGCAAGCCACCGCCGCGCCTGCTCTACCTCGTCCCTTCGCACGGAAACCCGAGCGGGGCGACGCTGCCAGAGGCGCGGCGCAGCCGGCTGGTGGAGCTCGCGCGGAAGCACGGCTTCTACGTCCTGGCCGACGAGGTGTACCAGCTGCTCGACTGGAGTCCCTCCGGCCCGCCTCCGCGCCTGCTCTGCTACGATGACCCGTACCGCGCGATGAAGCAATCCACCCTCCCCACAAGCGGCGGCAGCGGCGGCGACGGCGGCGACGGCGGCGGCGGCGGCGGCGGCGGCGGCGGCGACAATGACGACGACGACGACGATGCGTATCGCGAGGCTGCGCCGCCGCCGGCGCCTCCCAGCGGCGGCGAGGAGGAGGAGGAAGAGGAGGAGGGGGGGGGGGGGCGTGTCCTCAGCGTGAGCAGTCTGACCAAGATCGCCGCGCCGGGCCCGCGGCTCGGCTGGGAAGAGGCACGGCAAGGACATGTGCACGACGTGTCCGGGACCTGTCCAACTAGGCCTGCGGCTAGGCTGGGTGGAGGCGCCGCCCGCGCTGCTGCGGCGGATCGCGTCGCGCGGCTACCTCTCCTCGGGCGGCGGCGTCGCCCCCTTTGTCTCGGAGGTAGCCTGCGAGCTGCTCGAGGCGGAGCAGGACGAAGTGGTGGCGGGGCTGGCGGAGACGTACCGCGGCTCGGCCCGGGCGCCAGGAGAGCTGTCCGCCGGGCGAGTGCCGCCAGCGTGACCCGTCCGCGGCACGCGCCCTAGGCGCGCGCCCTCTGCGCCGCCCTCCGCGCCGAGCCTGGCCTCTTCCGAGTGGAGACCGAGCCGCTGGGAGGCTTCTTCTGCTGGGTTCGGCTGCCGGAAGGCGTCGACGCGACGGAGCTGCTCCCCGTCGCAGAGAGGCACGGCGTGCTCTTCCTGCCCGGGGCGCGGTGCGCACCCGGCGCTGCGGAGCCCTTCCGGCATCATGTGCGCCTCTGCTTCGCCTTCGAGACAGAGGCGGCGATGGGCGAGGGCGTGCGAAGGCTGGCGGCGGCGGTGCGGGAGGTGCAGCGGCGGGCAGCCTGACTGCGCGCGCGTTTCTCCGCGCCAGAAACGCGCGCAGGCGGCCGCACCTACACGCTAAGGGCCGCATCCCAGCACCACACCCAATCTGCACCGCCGGTTCCCCCATGGTGCTTTGGCGCTCGATTTTAGTTATTGTTTCCCGACCCCCACACCCCGCCCTCTCGATCACAATTCCACGCACTTGGAGCACTTGGAGTGCAGTTTGTAACCGCACACCCAGGCGCCAGGGGGGGCCGGGGAGCTAAGAGAAGCGCACCCCCAGCGGGCCGGATGATTTTGGCATCGGGTTACGGGCTAGAGAGCCCTAGCCCTGGGGGGTGCGCGGTCGCAGGGCCATAACACGGGTCTCCGAGGGTTGGTTCTGCGCTTTGGGTTTCCCCTAGCTGCGGAACGCACCCTCTACTCGGAGCTAAAGAATACTCTTACTCTCCGAGGGTTAGTCTGCAAGCGTGTGTATCGCGCGCCCTTCCCTGCGGGGGAGGGCGCGGAAAAGAGGAACCTCTTACTCTGCTGGAGGAATGGTTGGGCAAGTTGTCGGGGACACGATCCCGGCGTGAACACGCCGATCTGGTAAAATCCCGAGTGCCTACCGCACGCGCCACGTCGCGGCGCGTGCGGTAGGCTTTGTTTGAAGTAAAAAGTCGAATCAGAGCGCCGTCGGCGTTGTCCCCCGATTTTGTCCCACGGACCGCCCGTCCGGCACCGCTCCGGGACGCACGCCGGCGAAGCACCATCAAGCTGCTGTACGGCCCCGGCATCGCCTTCCCAGGCTTAGCTAGACTGAGAGATATTGTGAACATGGTCAGTCTCTACAATATATACACTGACACTGAACCTCCCAGAGCTCGTCCCGGTCCGTCACGGCCATCCTCGGCCTCCGGAGGGCCCCCGGCCGCGGCGCGGTGTGGCGGCGTCACAAATCCGACCACAGAGCACCGGGACGCGGTCGGGCGATCTGAGGCCCAACTAGGCGTATGCATTGCCCATTCAGGGCTATCACCTGGACCCATCAACAGGCGCCTGTGGCGCCGTGGTCACGAGGTGTTGTTCACACCTGCCCAACCATTCATGCAGCACAGAGCGCGCTCGCCGTTCTCGGGCCGCTAGATGGACGAAGAGAGTTTCCGTGACGACGAGAGCATTCGTGACGACGACGCCTCCCTCGCAGCGGATGACGACGAGGGCTCCGAGGCGGTGGCGGACGAGGCGTCGGAGGTCGGCGGCTCTGCCTTTAGCGACGAGGAGAGCGAGGAGCCGCAGAGCGGCGGCGGGGACGAGGGCGCGGCCGAGGGCCTGGCGCCGGTGGACATCACCGGCGTGAAGCTCAAGCTGATTGGCGTGACGCGGCCCGGCGAGGAGCCTATTCTCGACGGTGCGTGGGCGGCGGCCGAGGCGGTGCGCCAGGAGGGCGAGCGGAAGCGGGCCGAGGCGGCGGCGCAGGCAAAGGCAGCGGCCGAGGCGAAGGCGGCCGCCGAGAGGGAGCAGCGCCGCGCGGAGCTGGGCGAGGCCGCCGAGTACAACCCCGTCAAGCCAAAGGCGGAGCGCGCCATCCCGCCAAAGCAATTTTGGGCGACCGTCGATGAGCTGCTCGCGCGCCCGCCCACGTCCGCCGCGGTGGGCCCGCCGCCGCTGCCGCCGCCGCCGGCGCGCTGCCCCCTGGTAGATCGCCTGATCGCCGCACTCCTGCCCGGCGGCGTCCACGGCGGCGCGGGCGGCGCGGCGGCCGCCGCCGTGTGTGGGGCGGACGCGGCAACGCTGGAGCGGACGGAGCGGCGGCTACGTAGCTCGCTGCACGAGCTCGGCCTACTTCCTGCCCGCGAATCGCTCCCCCCACAGCTGAGGCACGCGCGAGCCCGGCCCGCCCCCCCAAATAACGCTGCAGCGCCGCGCTTCGCTCCGGTGGCGATCCCAGAGACATAAGCAGCGAGACCCGCTTGCCGCCGGTTCCGCACGACGCGCAGCCGCACCCCGCGCCCGCTCGACGCCAGCACCGCCTCGCCAACCCCCGCCCACCGCGCAGGCCCGACCCAGTGGGGTGCGAGCTCCGCTCCCTCGCTCGCTCGCTGCACACGCTCACCTGCGAGAACGCGTCCCGCGTCAGCGCGCTGCGGCTGCACGCGCAGGCGGCGGCGGCGGAGGAGCAGGGGCGACGCCTCGCGGCGGCGGCCGCCTCGCGCACGCGGCGGCGATACGCGAGGATCCGCAAGCAGCAGCGCTCCAAAAAGGGCGGCGGCCACGGCGCGCCCAAGCCGGGCTGAGCGCCTGAGCATGGGCGGCGGGACTTTGGATTCTTTGGATTCGACGGGGGTGCGGCTGCGGGTGTGGTCCCCGTCAGGGTCCGTCAGCGGTTCGGGAAACCCAAAAAAAACGGAAAGGAAAAACGGGTGCGGCGAAGCGTCAACCACACACGACAACACACATGTACATGTACCTGTGACATGATGTGTGTCCCTCGCACGACATTCTCGACAGCGGCGAGCGGGGCACCAGGCTCCAAGGGGGAGAGGAGAGAGTAAAGCCCCTAGCCGTACAGAGACTCTCTACTGTGTGGGTAGGCTAGAGATATTTTCACGTGATTTTTGAAACCCACGCGCCACGCCACGTCCCCATCCGGCACCAACTTGATTCGTAGCGTCCGGCCGGAGCCCGTAGCGCCCTGCACGGCGGGGCCTCGTGACCTACATCGATGTAGATAAAGAAACCACACACACACCACGAGAGATATGGGGCTGGATGAGCCTTCGGCCAGACGCGTAGATCGCGGCGTCTCACGGCCAGGCCGCGGGACGGGGAGAGAGGGGGGTCCGTAATTCCGTAATTCCGTAAATTTGTTACGAAAAGCCACCAGGATTCCCCCACCACACCCATCCACCAGGCAGATAGAGACACAGAGCACTCGCGACACGCTGAGAAGCCGGTAGCCGGAGGAGGCTGGCCTCTCCAACGCTCGCGCAACGCTGTCTGCACGCGCTTCAGCTCTTGGGCCCAGGCCACACACACATGGTGGGAGGGTCAACGACCATACGACTGTAAAGCTCCGGATCTGTTTCTTAGGCTGAACTCTACATTCGATGTTTCCCCTGCGAAAGTTTTCCACCGGGGGAGTTTGCGGGAGAGTTTGCGGAGCCCAGCGTCGACCGAACTACATTCGGAGTCCCTACCCTTTCGTTCGTTTACAACATTTTCCCAGCGGCCCGGATGGCAGAACTGGCCGTTGCCAGACTGAGGACTATTGTGCGCCTCGGCGAGGCGCTTCCGGTGGTATTTTTTTCGGGCGCAGTGGACTTCATCTTGCCGGTCAACTGCCGGCGGTCGACAACTGCCGTTCAGGCAGCGTCGGGTACCGCCGGCAAGATGAACTCACCTGAAGCTGAGGCGTTTGGAGCACTTGGAGCACTTGGAGTGCAGTCAGTAACCTCACATCCAGGGCCGGGGAGCTAAGAAGCGCACCCAGCGGGCCGGATGATTGGCATCGGGTTGCGGGCAAGAGAGGAGAGCCCTAGCCCCGGGGGTGCGCGTTCGCAGGGAAAGGGCCGTAAAGTAAACACGGGTCTCCGAGGGTTAGTTCCGTGTACCGGGTTTCCCCTTAACTGCAGAACGCCCCCTCTACTCGGAGCTAACGGACACACAACACTGTACTCCACGTACGTACACGGATACGCCTCATGTGCGCCCGCCCGACTCCGGTCCCAGAGTCCCTTCCTTCGCCTGTCGGCTCGTCCCGGGGCCCCTTGCTCGCCTTCCGGGCGTTACCAGACTGCCTCTGCAGTCGTTTCTGATGCCTCTTCCTCGGCTGTGGCCTCGACTCCGCTTCGCCTTCGACTGGTACCGCAGCCTCCGAGAGCGTCGACGGCCCGGCCGGGGTCTCCCCGGGCGAGGACGGCGGCATTGGGTCGTGTCGCCTCCCCTCCCAGGGAGGACGGGCCCGCTCTCCCTGGTCGACGAGTCGCGCCCGCACCCGTGGCCTCTCTATCGTCTTCGGCTCGCCCCCCCCTCCGCCGGCTCCCCGTCAGGCTCGGGGAGGCGTGGCCCTCCCTGTCGAAGATCACGGTGGTCCGGCTGCCACTGCGACGGGTCTCCCCTCGGAGAGCTCGTACGTCCCGATTCCACTCGCAGAGGCCGCGTAAGCTCACCTCTCGCCTCCTCCGACAACTGACCCCAAGCCCCCCCTGGGGCCCGCCGGCCTCGGCCTTCCGGCTCGTCGGCGGGCCCGTTATCGTATTGCGGCAACTCTCCTCCCCCAGCTCCTCCTCCCGGGTACTCCAGCCTCCGACGGGGCGGTTCCGGATCCCCCAGGTTATTCCGAGCGGGTCCATACGGCGGCGGCCCCGCCAGCGGCGGGGGTGGAGGCGGTGGCAGGGGTGGCGGGTACAGTGGCGGCCCTCGCGGCCCAAACGCCCGGTGTGGAGCCGCTGGGGCGGCCCCACGACCCTGCAGCCGTTCCAGTGGCGGGGGCGGAGGCGGTAGTGTGGGTGGTGGAAACAGTGGCGGTGCTGGCGGCCGCGCCGCTTGGTGCGGAACCTCAGGGGCGGCCCCTTGACTCAGCGGTCGCTCCAGCAGCGGGGGCGGAGGCGGCGGTGGTGGGGGCGGACATGGTGGCGGTGCCGGCAGCCGCAACGCCTGGAGCGGGGCCTCGGGGGCGGCCCCCTGCCCCTGCGGTCGCTCCAGCCTCGGTTCCACGCGTCGGCCGACTCCCCCACTCGTGGGGGGGGGCCTAGCTCTCGTCTCCCCTCGAGAAAGGGGGGGGTCAGTGCCCGGATTCGCCGACGGCTCCGCTCCTCCTTCCCGTCGCTCCGCACCGGGTCGTAGACTGCGCAGCAGCCGCGCCGCCTCCCCCCTCGCCCGGTCCCTCTCGATTCGGTCCCACACTGACCGGATATCAAAGGCTGAGTTGTGTTCGGATAGCGGGCCCGCCGATGCCACACGGCACACGCCTCTTCACACACACAGCAGGCGTACGCCTTCATTCATCGCCTGTCTCCCCGACAACGTCGGTCCCGGTGCAATGTCGTTGACGAGGTAGTCCTCCCCCTCCCACCGGAAAACCTGTCCAAGAAGGTCCGTCGAGCCAACCAGTCGTCTTGCCAGGCTCCGCACCTCCCGCGCCTGTACTGGTCTGAGGACGCCGGTGTGCCAGCCGCGAACGACAGGCCGATCGCCCTGAGTTCCGCCAGGACCGCCCTCTCGCCCGCCGCCGCGGCCACTCGATCCATCTCGGCCTCTCGGATCGCCTACCCGTTTTCTTCCTCTGTCTGCCGCCGGAGGTGCTGTGTTTCTTCTTTTTTCACGATTTTTGATCGTGCGCTTCGCCGCTCAGCCTCTCCCCGCCGCGCCTCGCACGTCGCGGCGAGCCCGACCAAAGCATGAGCAGCGCTGCGCTGCGCGACAAGATCAAGGGCCTGCTCGTGGAGGGCGAGGGCGAGCACACGTCCTCCTCCTCGTCCACCGCGGAGGGCGACGGCGACGACTCCTTGCGCCACACGCTCGGGCTGACGTCGACGCTCTTCACGCCGCAGTTTGCTGAGTCGTTCATTGCGCGCGTCGAGCGCGAGTGTGAAGGGCTTCCCGCGGAAGAGCGGCGCTCCAGGCTCACCGCAGCATACCGCAGTGTCACCGGCAGCCTCGGTTCCGGCGGCGACGGCGGCGGCGGCGGCGGCGGCGGCGCCAACTTCCGCGTCTGGCTCAAGTATGCGCGGCTCGAGGCGGAGAGCTCGGCCGAGGCGGCTCGCGCCATCTT